GGACGGTCAACTGACTCCAACGGGGGGGGGGGGGGGGGAGGGGGCGTCAGAAAACCACATAACCTGCGCCGCAAATTTCAACACCTTTTTTACGTGTGAGGTCGGGTCTGGACACTTGTTTTTCGTTGTTCGCGGCTCTCGACAATCTACGTTATTACTCTTAATACTATAGTGGGCTGTACGTCACCTCCCCCCCCCACCGAACGTCCCCCGGGCGTCCGTAAGTACAGGGGGAGGGCCTCGACCTCCTCTCCCTCCTCTTTACACCTCCCTATAGTTCTTAACCAAAACTTACTATAATCAATTTAGGATTACAGTACCTAATATAAATTTAGTTTCAGGACGGGAGTGACAATGTTTTAGGCTCAGATTATTATTGTGTAAAGGCTCGCTAGCTCTCTCCTAAATTTCTCTATCGACGAAATCTAGATCAAATCCTACTACACAAGGCACTTCCTTCTTTTTTTTACGCATTACGGTGAATACTGTATATGTTAACACTGAATTATAAAAAAATTCCATACCTTAATAAATAAATTAACACAAATATACATTCCGATTACATAATCAATATAGTATCCGACCGCAGAAAACACATATTTACTATATAACAAACACGAAGATATAAATCCGACACTTAACTTGAACTTTCACTAACACAAGACAATGTTTCACGGCAAGACAATGAGGTAGTAAATAAGCCAAACCACATACAAACTCACATACAGTAAAAATATAAATGAAAATTACAGTCGCAGATAACGGATAGTTAATCGTGCTATTCTGAAGTTTCTACCCCAGGTTACCGGGGTATTTACAAATAAAGGGCAGGTGCAACACAACGAGCTTCTTATCTTTGCCGAGAGTTTACACGTTAAGTTTCTACAGTCTTTTACCATTATTTGCCCGAAGTAGTCTTCGTTGGGAGAAAAAACGACATGGTTTTTTACTTGTGACATAGAAAACTTTATTATCAGACTTAAATAAGAGGAGTTACGAAACCTACAATATAAAACCAAATAAATAAATAAACACAGGTACGAAACATAATGCTTTTAGGTTATTCAGTAAAATATCACTTCTTTTTTTGTTTTGTATAGGTGATAGGTTTCCTAAAACACAGCGGAGAAGTCCAACACATTCCGATGAACACGAAATACGTCTGAAACACAATCTCCACACACACTGTCGACAAAGATTACTTGTTTGCAAAGATAAGGAGGCAATGAAGGAGAATTAATTTTGCCTGTCTATGAACTTTTTAGGGAGGAGAACCAACTTTATAAAAACAATGTTTCAAAAACTTTACATACCTTTTCTTATCGCTGTCGACATTTTAGGTCCGACTAAACCGTACTACCTATGGACTCGTCCTACTGCAATTCCGGAGCACGAGAAACTCGCGCGCACGTGCCACGTGTGCGCGCCACTGGATATTCCACGTTTAGTCAGGTTGTATATCAGATGACATGTGTGTGTGTTGGTGTGTGTGTCGTGTGCTGTGGTGCGTGGTGAGTGTGTATAGATAGACATGTGTGTATGTTATGTTCCTCACTCCCAGCATCCGAGGATCCGGGGACAAGAGGGGAATATTTCATAGATTTGTATTTTAAGTGAGCTGATTCTGTTGTAATTAAAACCTAAATATTGAATTTGAGTCCCTGCATTTCACTCATATTGTAGCACACAAATATTGTCCTTAACCTCCAATCATTTAACGTTATTCTGTTTTTTTAAACACATTTTCTCCAGGTCATCTCTGCACTAAATGAAAGGCTACGAAAATATCGCGTATCCGTCCCCCTCCTCAGCCAACCTTGCCATACCCAACTGACGCACAGCATTTACGCGCTTGAGTCTTCAGCCCAAACCAAAGCATGTCTGTTTCATGGGGGGGTGGGGGTCACTTTTAAACATCCAGCACGTGATTGAGATAGGAGATGTAGCATATAGCCAGTCTGAGTATTTCGATCTTGGAGAGTTTTTTGTCCGGGGGCAAGGTGGGGAGTAATTTCCTCAGCTCGGCGAAGGCCACGTTGAACGCCTCCACCCGGATCCGCTCTCTGGTAGCGTGGGCCGAGCGGTACTTGGCCGTGGCCCTCCTCCGCCTCCTCTTCTCCTCCCGGCTCAGGGGCTGGTCAGATCTGCATCTGGGCCGGTCCTCGCCCTCCGTGCAGGGCTCGTCCGAGGTGCAGCCGGTGGACTTGAGGCCGTTGAGGATGGACTCCGGGTCGGACTGAGTCCAGGAGAGGTCGGCCTCCGTCTGGTCCGGACTGAGCATCATCTTTATTCTCTGTTGGCTGTCACTCCTCCGTGAGAAACTGTAGTGAGGACAGAACAACAATTAAGCATTTATTTATATTCTCCCCAAAACTGCACTTGAATGTCCTAAAAACATTTCTACATTTTAAATTACGAGCCTCCTCGATGCATCTTCAATAATGAGAAAATGTCAATTAAACGGAATTGTGTTTAGTGTTTCTGCCACCCCGAGGCCCAAGTATGAGAGATGCCCCAGCGGGGGCTTGTCTGGGTGCCAGGGCCCCCCATAAACCCAAAAGCAGTCTACGTTCGTTGCATAATAACATTAAACTCCATAAATAATAAATGCATCCAACAATTCGTGTAATGGATAATTGATCAATGCCTAAGGCCTTACTAATTACGAAAACACATTTTAAAGTCTCGTTTTTTCGTTCCAAATTATTATTATTTTGTTTGATAATCCTTACAATAAAGAAATGCGTAAGTTGTGATCATTTTTAGAAGGAGAAAGTCCCTTTTTTGTGAATTAACATAATCAGAATGTGCCATCTGTCACAGTGTGATGAACACATCTGCTTGGCTGAGGCCAGAGAGACTTGACAGCATGGAGGCAAAGAGGGAAGAATAATGTTGACATCTGCTGGACATGGAACTAATGGAGATATGTGTTTTTAAAAAACGAGGAAAGTAAAAATAAAGAACTTGGCAGCACAACAAATCATCAAATTGGGGGACAAACATTTTAATAACAAACTTTCATATGGAAAAAAATCCATTTAAAAATCGAGACTCACCTTGACAAATAATTTGGAAGCAAAACTCTTCTGGAAACGAACTTAAAAAGCGCGCTTTGGCGGAGCTTCAACTCCAAATTAAGTCATATTCCACCGAAACAACCATCAGATGTTCAACAGATGCACCTTCAGACTCTCCGAAATAAAATAATCTATCTGGACTCTGTCAGCATGGAAACTTGCAGCATGGGGGGTCACAAGTCAGGCAGGGTGAATGCTCCTGCACGAGACAAATGTGATAATACAACAAAAAAAGAAGAGAGATAAGAGTGATGAGTCAGTCCGTGGGATCCAGAGACAAAAGAAGAGACAGTGGAGAACTCGTCCCTGGAAGATGGGGATGAAGGGGGGAGATAAGCGAGGCTCTCCCGTGTCAGGGTGCAGAGGATCGGATGCAGCTCACAGATAATCCCCCTCTCTCTCTGGCTCTTCCTCCAGCCTTTCTTCCACACAGTGTCATATGCAAGATAAGATCCAAACGATCCCGGCTAATAAAGGCTCACTTCAGGGACGGAATATATTTGAGGAATGGTATTGTCTGACGCCGCCCCCTCTCTCTCTCTCTCTCCCTCACAAACACACACCTCCTCCCTCCCTCTCTCCCCCCTCCCTCCTCACGCCCCTCAGCCCTCAGGCTCTTTCTCCCGTGGGAGTACAGTGGGCAAAGGGAAAGCAGAGATGTGTGCATGATAAAAGATGGGGAGGGAAATAAAGAAGGTTTTCAGTGGTGATTGGAAAAAGTAAATACAGATAGGTATGGGAGTTTTTTAATCTGATTATAAAAGGGTCTTTATACTTCTATTTCATTGTCATTTAAGATAAAATGAGATAAGATAAGGGATTATTTTCCCCAGGTCATTCAACAACACTGGAAAAGTCAGTCAGTTTAGTTTACATCTTTGTGTCATGTTGGCTTTAATGTTTTCATAATCTTATTGTATTTTATTTTTGAAATGACACTCGACACTGGCATTTTGTCCTGTCAAAATGCCCCTTTGATTGTTAACACGTTTTGGTGAAAATTGGAATGAAGCAGACTCAGGTGTTTGTCACTGAAGAAAAAGTATTGTCTTTGGTTATAGCTAACATCCATGCCTGATTAAATAAAAACAACAAATGACAATAATAACTCATAACTTAAGTTAGTCAACATGGGGGGAAAAGACACTGATGCTGTCCAAATCACTCTTTCAACCAAAAAGAAAATACATGTTTGACACTTTTATTATTTTCTTAAGCCCAAGGGAAAAACAGTTTGAGGAAAAACACATAACCTATTTTCCTGCACTATTTGAGCTATTAGAGAATATTAAAAGTGACTAAATTAAGCCATGCTAAGGGTTACTAGCCTTCACAGCTGCCCCCTTAACCATTCTTTGCTGCCAAAGTTAAAACAAATCTTGATTTCATGTTACTGTCATGGCACTGCTGCGATTCCACGGAGAGAGAAAAAGAAAAGACAAGAGAATAAAGAGAGAGGAAGTTCTGATATTTAAAACTTTGAACTTTACTCTCTCTTTTCAGTATTACAGCTGTCGAATAAATACAGTTCAAGAGTATCCCATTGAAATGTAAAACAGCATAACATGGAAATATTACATTAAGTGTCTTAAGAAACAGTTTAAGGAAATGTACTGTAACTTGTTGGATGCTCTAAAGTTTCTCCTCTCTTCCTCCCTTCTTCCCGCCCTCTTCCCATCATGCCCTCATGTGCACGGTGGCAGCGCCGGGTCATGAGGGCCGGGCTCCAGAG